AAAGTGAAGGGGCTAGGTATTTTATACAGTTGGTAATAAAAGTTCTGGTTTATCACTCGTTCTATTGTTCTTTTGTTCCTGTTTAATTCGTTCGTTGATTTTTTTTTTATTTTTTTCCTCATTCTTAAAATTTTTCAGCTTGTTCCTTCCTGATTTTTTTTTCTTGAAACTCAGAGCTGAAAAAGAACGGCTAAGTTAGCTTTTCAAAAATATCTGATGCCGCTGTTCTTTTGAATACGATAGGATCTAAAGTGCTCCTCCCAGTTCTTTTTAGGTAATTAGTTTGGGGATTTAAACAACAGGCAGAATTGTTGAGCAAATGCGTTTGGACCCATATCCCCAACTTCCAGCTGCAGATGCACGGCCGCAAACGAACGGGGGGATTCACAGTGCCCGCGATGTTGATTACCATCGCAAACCTGTGAAAGACTGGGACTATGCTGATGTAGCAGAATGGCTTTCATCTGAGGGCTTTTCTGCTTTTGCTAACCTGATAGCGTTCGAACATAAGGTTATTGTTATAGCAGTTATTTTTACTTCTAAATTATCCAAATATAATTAATTAAGAATTGAGCTTACCTTTTATATTAAGATCGACGGCTCGATGCTTTTGATGCTAACAGAGAAGGACTTACGGGAGAAGCCTCTGGAAATGACATGTTTAGGTGATATAAAACGGCTGGCAATCGCCATTTCAATGCTTCGTGATTCTGCTCATCCCAAGGTATTGGTCTTTCTTGAAATGCTCACTAGTATTCGAAATTCATATCCTAACTTTGCGAGCTGATTATTTGAACATACTTTTCAACACTAATCGGTGAAAAAAAAAAAGAATAGTGTATTTTTTTACTATTATTTTGGGCCTTTTATATTTTACCATTTCAAAAAGCAACATATTTTTTCTTTATTTGAATTCAGCTCCATACTTTTCCATCAACTTCAAGTGTGCAAGAGCCAGTGCATTCTAGTCCAAAAAAAACGATATCGAAAACTGCTCGAGAACATGAAGATATGCTAGTCTGCGTAGAAGTTGAAGACGGTGTTGTCCCAATTGCAAACGCCGACTCTAAAATATTAGCAGATACAAGGTTCTTTGCCACGTCATTTTGTAACCATTCACTGTACGTGATATACTTTTAATTAGCCGGTCTGGTTATTCGTTCGCACGTTCCTCTTGCATTACTTATTTGAGCATTCTGTAGAAAGTACAGATAAGGATGAATCTTACGGTTCCCTGTTTTAGGGAGAATGCGAATCGTGTTTTGACTGAGATAATGTCGAAGGATGGTGAGGGAGAAGTGAGACGCGTCCACTTGTTGAGCAGGGAAGAAATCATTCGCCAGGTGATTATGTTAGGAAATTCTACCATTTAAACTACAAAAAGCTTGGTTTTGATGCTGTATTTACGGCTTGCAGTTTATTTACTGAAAACTTATTCAAATTCACCGCAGTTTTTTATAGGTGGAAAGTCCAGATACCAAAAACAAGTCTTACGTAAAACTATTTATAGCTTTTTGCTATTGTTCTTTTTCCCTCTTAATAACTGCGTTTACGATGGTGATTGTTCATGACCGGGTCCCAGGTTTCTTTTTGCCAGTTCACAGCATATTTCAACTTGCTTGTCCGCACAGGCTTAGTAAACTAAAGTTTTCTTTTCCGAGTCTGCAGTTGCCATAGAGCTTTGTAAAGGTTGAGACTACTACTAAAAGCTGATTCAAAAACAAAGTGACTGATATTTTTCCTAGATATGAAGACTTATCCACCACTGCCAGATGTCGTGTTAGATAACCTTCCTTTCATACCATGGGCATTCGAAATGTGCGAACTAATTGCTGTTTGTCTGTCTACAGTTTGGTTTATCATACTATTCTTCCATAAACATAGGTAATAATACGTTAGCTTTTACGAACGAGTTTATTCTATTCTTACAGTTTTTCATTCGTCATTGATTTGAGACTTTAATTATAAAAAAACCCGCAGTTAATAAGTTAATCTCCTTTTTATGACTTAGAGTGGTAATAATGCGACGCATGTTTTCTCTGACTGGGACTGTCTTCCTTCTGCGATGCGTTACTATGATCATTACATCCCTTTCTGTTCCCGGTGCTCATCTGGAATGTCGTGCGAAAGTTGGTATTAATTTTTGTTTGTTTATTCCTCATTACTTTTTTTTATCAACTTTATTTTGAAGCTTTTTTTTTCACAACAAAGTGTACCGAACAGGTTGTATGATTCAGACGTATGGTAGCTTATGGGCAAAGTTGTGGCATGCTTATCACATTTGGTCGAAATTGGGAATGTCTATTCGAGGGGTTCGTACTTGTGGTGACTATATGTTTAGTGGTCATACAACGGCTATCACTTTGTTGAATCATTTAATTACTGAATGTCAGTTTTAATTCTTACACGTCATGGAAAAATTGGTTTCAATCTTTTCAGGACTAATGAAGTCTCAAGGTTTTTTGTTGTGGGTATTGTACGCTCGCTGATTCTCTCCCTTTAATTATATATACATATCTATATATCTGCTCACTGCTTTTCTTACTGGCCACTGTCGTACCATAAATTCTCTTTCTTTTCAGACACGCCAGATAGTTGGCATGGGTTACACACTGCTACGTGGGTTTTAAATCTTTTCGGAATATTCTTCATCCTAGCTGGACATGAACATTACAGTATCGACGTATTTATTGCGTTCTATATATCTTCCAGAATGTTTTTGTACTACCATGCTTATGCGTATAATCATTACAATTTGACTTTTCAAGACGGCAGGATGCGTATTTGGTTCCCTTTAGGCTGGTGAGTGGGACTCTTATTTTTTTTTAATTCACTGAAGTATTAGTTCTTCCATCGTTTATTTAAAGAAGCTTTAGGTTTTTCGAGGCTGGCGGGCACGGTCGAGTTCCTAATGAGTATGAATTTCCTTTTTCACTTCCTGACGTGTCTTGGTTAAGTCGGAAGCGGAATCCCTCACCTACTGTAGTCGGAAGTGGGGAGAAAAGAACTCGGATACCAAGCTTAAGCCTAGATCGAAAGAACCCGTCTCCAGAAAACAATAATAAGCCAACAAGACGAAGAAGAAAGCGTTGATCATTTTTGAAGGCATTTTTCTAAACTGTTCGTTATTGCCATTAGTTCTCAAATGCTGCTTTTTGCTCACATTTTCTTTCTGTTGGTCTAAAATACATAATAATTTGTATTAGTAGTCAGGAGAAATGAGGCTTTACTTGAAAGGAATCTCAAATGATGATCAAAACTTATTTAAATTTCCCTTTCTTTGCATCAAGAAATGGAGTTCGTAAAGCCTTTTTCTTTAACTTGAATGATGTTAATGCTTTTCATGTTCCCTTTCTAAACAGCCTCGTTAATTGTTATGAGTCGTTGTAGTTGTTTGTATATTTGTGTACTTTTGTTAGTAACTGAGGCTTTGAGTCGGCTTCACTAATAAATCATCAGGACTAAGAAGTGTTCTTTCGACC